CAGGACCATTTATGTCAGGCTGTGTTACCTTTATTCGGAGCCTTTGATTTACTTCTTAATCCTTTTCTCATCACGGGTTCTGAGATGTACCCCGCCCCCAGGCTCCCAGTTGAGCTGGTGATGGCCGTGATGTACTTCACTGGTCTGCTTCCTCTCCAAGGCCTCCGATATTTGCACACGTGTGCAGCTCAATAAGATCTGCTCTTTGGGGGAGATGCCTATGATTTGTGTCAACGTTACACACGGTGTTTTTCCCCAACGTGGATGCCTTAGAGCAAAGATGGCATTTTGTTCAGAAAACACAATCTTCTCTCTTCATTGCTTTTCCTCTAAGTCATTTGTTTGCTTGTGCTACGTATTTTCATGGACATTTTATTTGTGCCGCATGTCATGTTGTTACTTGAAAAGTCCTTTTAAATAACAACATAAGATCCAAAGTGTCTGTATATTAAAAAGCTTTCAGTGTCTCTTTGTCTTTAATATTTTAATAGTCATTTTACTTCAGTCTTTTCTCTGTAACGCAATAGCCACTGTTTTCCTATTGATAAAGGACCCTGCCTTCTAAAATTGCAAAGGAACAAAAATTAAATTAAAACAAAAGAAAAAGAAAGAAAATGGCTCTGAAGACTGAACCCAAACCTATTAAAATCTTAAAAACCAAGAGACCGGAAGCAACAACAAAAATCTGCAAAATGATCTCAGCCCGAGGCTGGCCGATCAGCCTCGTCACCCAGTGCTCAGTCTGTGATCTCCCAGTGTTGGGTGCTCCCTCCCTGGTGACTTAGAATCTACCTGCAGCGTATTTGTACATCTCAGCTTCCTTGGGGATCCCTCACGGAGCTCCCACGCCTTAGAAATCACATTTGTTTGTGTACGTGATTTGAGTAAAAGCAACTTCAATGAGACTCCGGTTGAAACAACCGTAGTTTTGGCCTCGATACCAAAATTGTGCATGCAAATTGGAGGCAGACCAAAGAACAGGCCAGAGAGTGAGGACGAGCCGCAAGGCATGTGTGTCCCCAGAGAGGGAGGACAGAAATAACAGACAGCAGAGCCCGTAAACATGTAAAGGTGTAAACATCCGATACGGAGAGGAACGATTCATTCTGGGACAAAGGCGTCGCGCTTGTGCTCACGTGTTTATATCATGGGAAAGAGAAAGAAAAGGATACTATTTAGTATCATCGTTGTGAAACATTAATTGTTTATGCAAAATATTCTAGCATCTGATGGTATGGAAGCTTCCTTTCTCTGAATGCCTCATTTCAACATACGGTGAAAAAGCAAAAATTATTCAAAAGAGGGAGGCTTCCTTCTGAGAAGACCGATTTTCCTTGGCTTCCACTTAGGACTTCTTAAGGAGAGATTTTTATTTTGCATGACACTCACTGGACAGTACCTCATACTTTTACTTCCTAATGGCCCTGAAGTGAATTAGCTGTAGGCAAACGCCAGCAAAAAGACTGGGACCCACTGGTGAGGCCGTCAGAGAGGGGCGTCAAGCGAACAGTGAAACGCATCAGAAACCAAGTTTAAGAGACGAGAGACTCCTAGCAAGACCACCTGGATGACAGGACCCAGGAAAGCAACCCGGAATCTCACACAGAAGGGGTCCAAGGAACGACTATCGGGGACCCTCTCCCTCTGTTCTTTCCTTTCTTCCTCCCCACCCCCACCTGAGAAAGCATCGAGCGTGTGCTGCGCTCTGTGCTCAGTGGTAACAACGCAAATGTGTACTTGAAGTGGACCCTGCCCTCAAAGTCACACTCATGAGACAAATGTACAAGCAATTAGTTGCAACTGAGTGTGGGGCTTGTAAACAGAGTTAGAACAAGCAGAGGCAAGGTCAGCCAAATAAGGAGCGTTTGTGCAATGTATTAGCCAGGGCTCTCCAGGGAAAAGAACCAACAGGGTAGAAAGGTGATGATAGACAGATAGATGACAGATAGATAGATGATAGA